AGAAAAAATATGGAAAGATGAAAGAAATAACATCAATCAGCTGCGTGAGAAAGGAAGATACCTTTTCTTTATATGAACTCTCATTGTTTCCCAGGAACACAGCATAAAAAGATAACACACTTCCTTGCATTTTGTAAAAGGCTCTTGACATAATTTGTGACTTATTAACTAGTGATGCTAAACTCACACTGCACATAAAGCTACTAGACTCTCTTTCCTGTTTCTTAAAATTTAACACTGAGGAAAAATAAAATATTTTTCATGCGACGCTTATCTAACACTAAACTTTACATTTGCTTAACAGAGCACAATCTTCACAATAACAGGGTATATTGCCAAAGGCAGCATGCAGACTTTTTGGAATTGCTCCCATCTCTTTCGGTTCACCTGTAAAAACATCTACGTGCTCCCTAGGACTGCATCTGTGGCTAGTTTTAAAGAATGACTATCCATGCAAATAGGCATAATTTCAGCATGAAATAATCTGTAAAATCAAGACAGTAGTCAATGCTTAGTTTGCAACCAGGATGGGAAAAAAAAAAAATCTTTTAATACTTAGAAACATTATGTTTATTCTGCAGCCTTTGCCCACATATTCTCTATGCTTTAAAAGAATTTTCAGAGATTTGGTGTCAGAGACAGTTATGCTAGGGACATGATGTTTGTTTACATTACAGGCTCCTTGTATACAGGAAAGCAAAGAATGATATATATATTTTTTTTTTAAAAGTGTCATAGATTCAAATGGGAAATCCAGAGCCTTACATTGTTATCAGGTCACTGTCTTCAGACATAATTCCTTATCAAGAAGCACATTAAGCAAGTGAAGTTTGGCTACTTCACCTATAATAATAAAATAATAAGGAATTCTGTTGCAGGGACCCAACTCTACCACCTGCACACCAGGTAGCATCTCACCCTGTAAGCAACTCCACTGGAGCCCAGGGATACCAAAATCCTGTTATGTGCAAACGGTAGGATCAGGCCCTGATTAGCAGTACGTGTTATAAGAGACTGTCTCCTGCTTTCTCTCAATTAATGCCAATGGAGTTTTTCAGGGGGCAGAATCAGGCTCTTACAATTAGGTCTTCATCTAAAAAAAATTCCGAGGAGTTGGGATTTCAGAAGGGCTGTTTCTTAAGTAAACGGCCAAGTCCTCAAGGGGTGGAACGGGGCGACCACCACCAGAGTTTTTGAGCAGGCAATACCAGCACAGAATAAACCAGGGTCAAGGTTGACCTTTCAGTCTAGTGGTGTTCATTTGAAAGCGATACAAGCTAATTGCGAGATAACCGACAGAGCTCTTGCTTACTGCACGTAAGATATTCTAAAGACATTTTCCATGAAGATAATACTTGCCAATAGGAAGAAAAAAAAAAACAACGCAAACACTGAAAACCTTCACGCTTTTCCTTCCTTTTCTGTAGTCAAGCTAGGCTTGATTGAGATCCAGCAATAAGTTCCCAGGCTCACACCAAAAACCTCACGTCAGGTTTAAAGTTTTGCACATTTCCCAGCAAATTTGAGGTGCCTGACCACTGTTTCCCTCTCTCTTGCCCAATCTCAACCAAGGACACGCATGGGGAGGGCTTGCTGTACCCTTGAGTCAGCAGCTCAGGAAATAGGCTGTCCTGCGCCAGGTTGGAAGGTCATTGCCACGCATCCTTCCTCCCCAGTGTCCATTTTCCTCCCCCCAAGCCCCCGTACCAGCAGCTGCTCGCCAGCCCATTCCTGCCACCCTAAACACGCGGCAGGAGGTGCTCCGGAGCGATGCCCCCTCCTTCCCTTGCTGGAAGCTGAAAGCATCTGAGCTATCGTGCGCTTAACCTGGGTATTAAGCAACGTTTCCCATTTGACCTAGTGTTAGCCTGAGCCTACAGACTGCCAGCTTTGAGGCTTACATGCCTTTCAGCTTAAATATGAAAAATAGTTCCACTTTAGCATGACAAAACAGAACGGGTATTGAATAGCCTGTTAATACTTCGGTCTCGGAGGACCAAAACCAATTCACACCTCAAGGGAAGTGGAATGGCACGTACAGCAGGATGCAAAACCCCAGCCACGACAGGCAGACTTCGAGGCTGGTTAGATTAGAACTGGATAAATAAAGAACTCTTGTGGGGGGGGGGAAATTAGGAAGTTTGTGTCCTTTACGTAGTACCTGTACTTTGGCTGCACGTTGTCTCAAAACTGTATTTTACACAGTTGTCTCTGCACAGCTATCCAGAAATATATGGTTAGAAAGATAGCTTCGGCTGTCAAGATCTATGTAGAAATCTTTCAGAAGCACCATTTCTTTCCAAGTTACAAAGTTTTGAATTTGTGAAGGTTAAATTTGCTTTACACGTCACTTTTGATACTCCTTGCATGCCAAGTGTAGTTTATGTTAAATTTACCCACCACATCCCGAGCCTCAACTCGCACGATGTGACTTTCTCAGAAATCGAACTTTTTCCATGCCTGTGTAATTAAAAATCTTACCAAGGGCCTTAGAACTTTCCAAGTCCATCCATAAACATAGCTTGCAGTAATTTATTTACAAATTTACTTCCGAAACTTTTGGTTAAGGAGATATGATTAAAATGTAGCTATGAATAACCTTTTAACAGCGCAGCAGCTACAGACATGGATTTATTTCATACCATTTGATATGCATTGACATTTTAACTGGAAACAGATTAATTTCTAGGTATCCAAGAGTTACTGTTACCAAATCCTTCGCTAGAACGGTCTTTAGAAAGGAATATGATGTCAGGTATTTAACCGCAAGCATTACAAATAAATCACTTTCTGTAATCAATTTTGTTAACTCATCTTGATCTGCAAAGATGCTGATCATTTTCTCCTAGATTAATTCATACACCTATGAGATGCAAAGGAGATGTAAATTCAAACTCACCCTCCCCAGCCACTCTGAAGGACCCTAGCCTAACCTAAGCAGCCATTAAATACAGAGCAGCAAAGTGCTAAACTCGACGAATATTCACGGATGAATTCAAGGAGATTATCAGTTCATAGAGCTGAAATTGTTCCTATCTTTTCACAAGCCGACTACTTTCTTTGGTCCAGCGTCTGCCTGCTTCATGTCAGCCCATTATGCCAATACCACACGAGATATTTAGCACGCTTCTGCTAATAAAAATATTTACATCTTTCACTCTAAAGCGCTACACGGGGTATAGCTTTGCCAGAATCAGCCCAGGAAGGGCAGGATGAAAATTATTCCAGTCAACAGCACTTCACGCACAAAACCACAGCTAAAATCTAAAGAATAGATTACATTTATCCTCCACACATCTTTTCAGCACTAAAATCACGTCAGCTGCTAACGAGAAAGTACTACCTTTTTGTACAGCTCTGACACAAGTTTTTGTGGGAGAAGGGGTTATCTAACTCCCTTAGCCGAGACATGTAATCAAAGAATTTGAAACAAGGCAGAAATGATAAGGAACTGATTGTGCAGCAACAACTACTTTATTAGGATTTCTCCATAAGAAGCAAAAATTAGAGCCTGACTTCAAAATTATGCCACCTGCTCTTTAGCCTTAACAAAAAAAAGTCACCCTCTTCTTATGAACCTGGTGATACCCAGGGCCCAATTCAGCAAGGTATTCAGCAACCCCCGTGAACGCCAAGCATCCTCGATGCCCATTGACTACAGGGGGAACTGACGGAGCTCACTAACAGGAGGGATTCGGCATCTCATTAGTTCAGGCCTTTATTTTGGGGAGACGCAGGGCCCTCTGTCACGTAGCTGTGCTCGGCACTGCTTGAGGAAACAGATTCTTCGAATGAGAAAAAGAAATCAAGCTGTTCAAGGTAGAAAATTGAAAACATTTCCCTCCTCTCAAGCCAGTTTGGTCCTTGTTATTTCACCGATCATGAAGAAAATAACTCACATGGTCTCTGTGCAGAGAGAATACTGAAACATTTGCAAGACTCCTTCTACGAACTCAGACCAAGTTTTCTAAGATTTTTTTTTTCCATGCTACACAATGCCACTAAATCACAATTCTTGACTTAGTTCATCTAGCAGTTGGGCTGCACTTTTGAGACAGAACAAATCATTATTTATAGACTACAAATTGCAGTATTTACAATTCTGCCCTGAATCAAATAATTTTAAAATGTGTCCATTCCTAAGAATATCTTAATTTATCAACCGATCATAAAAAAGACAAGTCATGTAAACTGAGAGGCCTCAGAGGTCAGCTGGCAGGAGAGTTAACTGTATATACTGACAGCGCCATTCAGCGAATTTAAGATACTTTACAGAATAATTTAATAGGGAGCTGTTAGCAAAAAGTATATACATTGTACTTTTTATCACAGATCAACTCATGAAATGATACCCTGTCTACCCTTGAGTATTAAAAAACATTTCACAGTATGTGATTTTGCTGTTAAAGGTAAGCTCTGGACAAAAAGCAGATAAAATAAATGCAAAACGAGCTGCAGCGGTCGTAAACTTTATGTGATTGATGGCAACTCACAGGAAAACTGCGAGGAAAAGAAGACATAAAGGGTATGTGCCACATGCAAATCTACGGGTAAGGAAACTGCCGCCGTATAAATTCATCCTGCGTACTGCCAAACCTCTACGGACGATGGAAGTGACAAATAATCTCAGCAGTGACGCGGCCGCGTTTCTGCACCCTGTGTTAGACAACACCAGACCTTCCCGCCACCGAGCAGCGGCCATGGATGCGCGGATGCGCTTCCACGTGCCCCCCGCCCGTCCCCAGACCCGCAGGAGGGTTTTGGGGTGACACTCGCCACGCAGCCAGAAACGCCACAGCGTTCGCAACCTGTGGGGAAACTAGCAGGTTTCCAAACCCTCACCCAGGCAACTTTTGCCCGACATTCAAGGGCACCTCTAGCCTGCAGCCGTTTCCCCGGCCAGCCGTGACCAACACCTCCGACTTCATCGAAAACATGAAGTTACTATCCCCCGTCCCTGTTATTTCCGCAGATGGAGCGCGCGTTTGTGACACCGACCCCTCCGAGAGCTCCGTCCCCCCCTCGGATGCGCCTTTTCGGGCAGAGACCGACTGACCGGGCCTCTTCCCCCCGGCCGTTCCCGCCACCCGTCCCGGCCGGGACCCCCCGCCCCGCTCCACGCCCCGCACCTGCAAATGTGCGCCCATGCGCGCAGCGGTGCGCCCCCTCCCGCGCCCCGCGCACCTGCCCCGGCCCCCGCCGGCTCCGTCTCCCCGCTGCAAAGCGACCGCGGACGATACCCGCGACTTTCTCCCCCCCCCTCCTCAAAGACGCGCGGAGCGCAGGGCGGCCCCGCTCCGCCCCCGCGGAGTGCCCGGTGCCGGGGAGCGGTGCTCCGGCGGGCCGCCTTGCTCCTGCCGGGCCCCCGGGCCCCGTATTTTCGGTGCCCCCCCACCCCCCCCCCATCCCGAGCCGCTGACCCCAAACCCAGCCCTGCGCGTCCGCTCCGCGCAGGCCCCACGCCCCCCCCCCCCCCCCCCCCCCCCCAGCACCGTTCCCTCCTGTGCTTTAACTCCGTTTAAACGCATGGCAAAGTGCAGCGGGTCACTCAGCCGATAAACAGAAAACCAAAAACGCCAAGAAAGATCTCTATCAAAGGCTAAGAAAAAATTAAAACACCCTCCCCGTCCCCGAAGAAAAAAACAAACAACCACCAAACAAACAGAAAGTAGCAATAATCCTAATCTTTTCCCAGATCACGGCTCTTATCCCGCGACTTGCATTTGATCTCTTCTCATGTGCTCGCTACCTACCACTCAAATCCCATTTTCCATACATTTCCACAATTCGCAGCTCGTCCCACCCTTGGAAATGAAAAAGTAATGTCAGGGATAAGAAGAGTGAGAATAAAAAGTCCCTGCCCTTCCCGGTTTGGGTCAAAGAAAGGAGAACTAGCGACATGCAAATGACAAGCAAATTGGAAGAGACAAAAAGAAAGGCAGCTATAATAAACAAGACAAAGAGGAGGCTCAGAGGAGCGGAGCAGGAGTTTAAGGCAGGGGATGGGGAACTTCGGCGGGGCCGGGGGGGAGGCGGAAGCTCGGAACAACAAAAAGCAAATACTCGCCGCATTTTCCGTCCCCGCGAAACTGCCCTCCAGCCCACGGCATAAAAGAAAGACCCGTCCACAGAAGGTGGCAGCGAGAGAGCGAAGAGGAAGGGGGGGGGGAGAGCTGGGGGGGGCGGATCACCTAACAACGAGCAGGTCACTTACTCTCCGGCCCTGGGCAGGCTACGGGGAGCGCTCCATCGGGCGCGGCGCTGGCAAATCCCGACCGCCTGATCCGGCGCGGAGTTCGGGCTGCGCGGCCGCGGGAGTCAGCGCGGTTCTGCCCCCTGCGAAGAGAAGCGCAGGTTTGGTAACGGTGATCAGCGTTTCGCCGGGGATTTCACTCCCACGCCCCCCCCTCCCCACACACACACACCCCTCCGCCCCCAGACCATCTAAAGAAAGTGCGGGGGGGGGGGGTGGAGGGGAGGGAGGGAAAGAAGAAAGAAAAAAAAAAAAAAAAAAAGACTCGAAAAAGCCGAAAAAGCGGGGAAGGAGGGAGGGGGGCGCAGAGAGGGAGCGGGTACTTACTCCGTGCGACGGCGGCGAAACTGAGCCTCTTTTTTTTTTGGCGGTGGAAACAGAGGAAGGGAGATACGCACACGCACATGCACCCACCGCACGCGCCACGCGCACTCACACTCAGACACGCGCGCGCCCGCGCGCGCGCACACACCCCCGCCACACACACACGCGCACACACACACACACGCGCAGACAGCGAGAGACCCCCGCGCGCGCGCGCGCGCGCGCGCGCGGACACCCGGGAGCCCCGCGCGCGCAAGCCGGCGAGCCCCGCGCCGCTGATGAATATGATAATCGGGCGAGGGAGGGCGAGCGCGCGCGGGAGGGCAGCGGGCGCGGAGCGGGGGCGGAGGAGCGGCGCGGAGCGGCGCGGAGCGGGGCGCGGGGCGCGGGGCGCGGGGCAGGGCTGGGCTGGGCTGGGCTGGCCGAGCCGAGCGAGCGCTCCGCACCGCCACAAGATTTACTTTAAGACACAGCTGAAGGAAACAGGAAGACTAGACGTCACGCTCGGAGTGACGTGAGCCCGGCCCGGCGCCCAATCGGGAGGCTCCTTGGGACGGACGGGGGGGACGGGGAGAACTTGGCAGGAGCGAGGAGAGAGGAGAAGGGAGAGGGGGGGGGGGCGGGGGGAGGAGGGGCCGCCCCGCCCCCGCGGGAAGGTGGTGGAGGCCGCGCACCTGCGTGGGGGACGGACGGACGGACACGGGGCGGGAGCGTCGGCGGCCGCGGCCCGACGGGCCCCCCCCCATCCCCATCCCCATCCCCATCCCCATCCCTTCGCCGCGCTCGTGCGAGGGGCAGACAAAAAAGCCGCCCCGCGGAGGGAAAGGGGGGAGGGGGGGCATGTGGGGTGTTAGGGGAAGAGAAACTTTAGGAAAGTCACCCCGCGGGGGCGGGGGATGCTCCACGGAGCCCCACGTGGGAAATTTTTCCCCGCGGGAAGGCTTCCGCGGAGGAGCGACGGCTCGCGGGGGCTGCTGCCCCAGGGCGCGCGCCTGTCCCGCGTTAAGCATCGCGGCGGCGATGCCAAACACCGCTCACGGGCGCTGCCCCCCCCCCACGCGGCTCGCAAAGTTTTAAGATGAACGGGTGCGTGACCGCCCGCCTCCCGACACGGCGTCCCTCGCTGACGCGCAGCGGCCGCGGGTTTGCAAGCGCGTCGCGGGGCTGTAAGCGGGAGCCGCGCGGGTCACTTCTCCACGTGGGCAGCAGAAAATAAACACGAAAACGAACATCATCAGGTCGCGGCGCGTGGAACAACCAGCGGGGCCGAAACCCGGGGTGTTAGCTGCGGGCGGCCCTGGCCCCGGCGCAGCGCGCCCGGACTTTTCGGGCAACTTAAACCCACCCCGGGCTCGGCACGGCCGGCTCCCCCGGGAAAGCTTTAGGGAAAAATAATAATGTTTTTTAGGAGGGAAAAATCTACACGAGGATCTTCCCAGCAGGTCCGGGCTGCAATCCGGACCAAAGTCTGCCGGGAGCGCTTTTGCCCCGCCGTGAGCGCGGGTTTCCGCGGCGTGGGGCGGGGAGCGCCCGTACCCCCCGCCGCGGTGGCCGCGGAGGGTCTCCCGGCCGCTGCCGGCGGAGGGGCGAGGCTTCCCGTAGGGAAACCGCCGGAGGCTCGCCGGCGGCGGGGGGATGGTTTGAGGAGAGGGCGGCAGGTCCTGCGGCGGGACAGGCGGCGGCGGGGCGCTGCAGGGCGCTCGGCGGCAGGTAAGTACGGCGCTGACCCGCCGAGGCCGTCCGCGCCCCCCCCCCCCCACGCCCCCCTCCCCCAGGGCTGTCATGCGGGAGAGGGAGTCCCGAGTGGAAGGGAAAGCCCCGACGGCAGGCAGGGCTGCGGCGGGCGGCCGCTGCCAAAACTTGCGACACAGCTCCGTGTCCGGGACGAGGGACCGGGCCACGCCTCGCCCCCTGCCTCCACCCCCCCCACCCCCCCCCGGCTGCTATCTGCCCGGGGAGCCGCTCCGCTTCCCATTTCAATTTAAAGATCTGTATCCCTCGAGGGGAGCCGCGGCGCCCAGCCCCACGCGTACGTGCGGCGAGCCTCGACACATCCCGCGGGGCTGGCCGGTCGCGGAAGCCCCTCGGAGGGGCGTGCTGCGAGGGCTGCCCTCCGCGGCCGAAGTTTGGGAGCCGGCATGGGCAGCAAACCCGCCCCCGCCGTGGTCCTGCACTGCCCGCAGGGGTGAAATGCGTGGGTCCCCGCAGCCACTCTTCTCGGCGCTGCCCGCCGCGTCGGGGCGGTTGAGCAGCTCCGCGCTGCCTCCGCGGCGGGGAGCAGGATCACTCGCGGGGGTGTGTGTGGGGGGGGTAACGTGACAACCACCCACCGCGGATCACTAAGAAATCGCTCGGGACCGGCCAAAGCGGGAGCGGCCAGAGCGGCCCTTGGGAAGCCACTCCCGAGTTAAAAGAGAATAATTAATGTCGCGGTTGCGGCTCCAGCCGGCGGACTTCGAGGATATGCGGTCGGTAACACCCGCCCGAGAGCCCGGCACCGGTGCGGGAGGCCCGTCGGGGCGCAGACGGGGCGAGGGGAACCGTGGGTTCCCTCACCCGCTGCCTTCCCCGGCCCCGCGGCCGTGGGAGAGCCCCGCTCCACGCCGGGCGCCCTCGCAAGCCGTGCCTGGGTCCCGGGGGCCGCGGCTGGGTCCCTCAGCGCCCGTGGGTCACCGCAAATCCCCGGTACAACGGGGCGCGCCCCGGGGCGCTCCGCTCCTACCGGTTTCGTCCCCCAGCCCGAATCCCGGGCGGCCCCGCAGCGGTGCCCGCTGCCCGTCGCGCCCTCCCGGCCCGCGGGAGCCTCCGCCCGCCGGGACGGCTTCGCCCCGACTTGATTTAACGTGACACCTTCAGAAATCGGGGCGCCGGGCCCTTCGCCGCCCCGGGAGCGGCGGGGCTGGGGCTGGGGCGACCCGGCGCTGCGCTCCGCGGGCGCGGAGAGGCGGGCGCGGGCGGGCCGGGCGCTGCGGGGCTCCGCTCGCCGAGGCGACCCGTTCGGCCTCCCGTTGTAGCGGTAAGTGCTGGCGGGGCTGCGGGACAAGGGTGCAGAAGTGTGTCTGGACGCAGGGGGAGATAGGCTAAATTTGGCGGGTGAATGACTGGCTTGAATTCTTTCCCTTTTTTTTTTTTTTTTTTTTTTTTCTTTTAAAGGACACCAGGATACACGCAGAGGTGAAGCCGAATCGTGCAAATGCTAGTAAATAAGTAAGTTGCTGCCTCTGACACTGAGCTTGTCACCACCGGGGCTCGACTTAACTTCAACCACTGTTGGTTTACCCAAAAGAGAAACTGAGGCACAGGGAGTGAAGCAATGTCCCCAAGGTCACACAGCAGAGCAGTGGCAGCCAAGCTGCTTGCAGGTTACCTTCCTCCAGCCCCTCATCTTGCAACTTTTTAAAGTCTAAACACACCGGCCCTATGACCAGCCACACCAATAAGCCTAACTGGCACGAAATGCATGCTTTCCTCTCACCCACCATCTCGGGCACTGATTGCTCCATACCCTTTATCTCTTTCAATCCTGGAGGACCCGCAGCCTCAAGGAATGCAAGCCAATGTTTCAAAGCTCAACAGCAAAAGTATTTTCCCGCCCATCACCCAAATCTTCGAGGTGTAGGAAAAACTCCGCTTCCTCCAGAATGTAAGCCTTTGGAAGGGGCGCAGCGGACCCGCATGTCAGCAGCTCCTGTTCAGGATTTGTAGTGAGGAATGGCATCCTTGGTGCCTTCTCCAGGGCCTGATGGCTTGGGCAGTGGTGGGGAAGCCTCCTGCTGCTGTGGGTGGGTGCCTGGCTGTTTCTGTCCCTCGCTGCCCCCAGTCTCCTGACCGACTGCCACCGGGGTCCCCACTAGTGAACTGCAGTAGATTCCTGTCCCTCTTCAAACTCCCTTAGAAGTCCCAGATCTCTTCTTGGTAATTAATAGATCATTAGGTAGTTACCAAGTGCATTTCCTGGTCATTAATAGATAATAATGTAGTCACAGTGTTTATTTTATGACTTATGGGCGTTTTGGATCCCAACAAAAAGTAATCTGTGTTCAAAAAGTTTGGATTCAAAGACTGGGTGTGCTTAAATCTGTGAGTTCTCTTCTCCTCCACACCCACCCCCCCCACCCCCCACCCCCCCACCTAATGTTTGGTGTGTGTCACAAACTTGAGGTCAAAATACTACATTTCCTCCACATATGGGGGGCTGTCAGGTCTATGTTTAGCTGCCAAGGTTTGTCGCATCAGAAATAAATCCTCCAAATTTTGGTGCCTCTGAAGAGAAAAGGTTTGCTGCAAGCTGACAGCTTTCCGTGATTGCTTTTCTTTCTTTAAGGGGAAAAAAAAAAAAACAACCCAGATGCAAGAAACTTAGGAAAACTTTTGCAGTGTGCCCATGACCGTGGGTGATTCCTCTGCCCTTTGGAGTCTGACAACAAAATTGGAAGTGACAGGGGTATATTGTTGAAACTGCCTTTTCTTTGATCATTTTCCTTGCTGTGTCTGTTCCAACTAAATGAGGGAATGGGGCTACAAATACATAGTATGTTTTATATCTTTTTTCCTTTTTTTTTTTTTTTTTTTCAGGTGTGTGGCAGGTCCAAGTACTCTCATACATAAAAAGAACACGCTGCAACCACAAAGGCCTGATTCTGCTCTTACTTATGCTGATGTGAATTAAAAACAACTCTACTTATATCAATAAAGCATCTTCAATGTATGTGAGAAAGGAGAACGGGGTCCCTGATGTGTGTAATTGCTGAATTTAGAGCCTTTTCTCGCTTCTCTTTGCCCTGGCTTCTCCTTTCAAAAATGAAAGCTTTGGAAGAAAATGCCTTTAACCTGAAGAGTGAAGGCAACCTACGTGGTTGAAGAGAGTGCAATTTAATTCAAGAACCTGGTATTGATGGAAATTTAATTGTTAAAAAAATAATTTAAAAAACCCCACCACCAACAAAAAGCCTTGAGAGAGGAGAAAGTGAACTAAACTAATCCTATTAAACGTGGTAGCATGTTTCTGTGCAGCTCCCTGAGAGATTAAGCACAGGAAAAGGGATAAGTGCTGCTTCAGTTTCACTAAACTAATGTGACAACTTGTCATTGGAAATCTTTACAGCTTGTTAGCAGATGACTAGCTGATTCAGATATGTTTTCTACCATTTCCTTTGTGTCTGGGGGTAGTGTTTTTTTTTTTCCTGTTCTTTTCTTATCCATACTGCTTTATTTTGCTTTTTAATCCTTCATGTCTCCTTCAAGTCAAAACATTTAACTTGCTTTAATCAATATTTTGTTTTGAAGATGTCCCTTGACCTTTTGTTTGTGCAAATTAACCTTCAAGGGCACCTCATTCATTCATTAACCTCAGTGGGATGCCGTATCCCTTGTACATGGCATTTTAGGATGCATAAAACATTTATAGAGAGACATATTGCAGTGGGTGACTGTGATACTGCTGTGGTTACTACTACTGCTACTATATATTAGATATTTATTATATATTATTATATATTATATATTATATAATATACACTATATTATATATTATACATTATATAATATATATTATGTATTATATATTATATATATTATTTTCTTTCTTTCTTTCTTTCTTTCTTTCTTTCTTTCTTTCTTTCTTTCTTTCTTTCTTTCTTTCTTTCTTTCTTTCTTTCTTTCTTTCTTTCTTTCTTTCTTTCTTTCTTTCTTTCTTTCTTTCTTTCTTTCTTTCTTTCTTTCTTTCTTTCTTTCTTTCTTTCTTTCTTTCTTTCTTTCTTTCTTTCTTTCTTTCTTTCTTTCTTTCTTTCTTTCTTTCTTTCTTTCTTTCTTTCTTTCTTTCTTCTTTCTTCTTTCTTCCTTTCTTTCTTTCTTCTTCTTCCTTCCTTCCTTCCTTCCTTCCTTCCTTCCTTCCTTCCTTCCTTCCTTCCTTCCTTCCTTCCTTCCTTCCTTCCTTCCTTCCTTCCTTCCTTCCAACTTACTTCCTTCCAACTTACTTCCTTCCAACTTACTTCCTTCCTAACTTCCTTACTTCCTTTTCCTTTATTCCTTCTTTCCTTTTCCTTTATTCCTTTATTTTCATTTCTTTATTCCTTTATTTTATTTTCTTAATTCTTTTATTTTCCTTTCTTTCTTCCTTTCTCCCTTTCTTTATTTTTCTCACTTCTGTTTCTTTTTTTTTTTTTTTTTATCTCTCCCTTTTTTCTCTACCTCACATGTTTTTGAGTGCAGAAGGCAAGCAAAATAGCTGGTCTGGGAGAACTTTTAGCATTAGTAATTTAATTTTAAAAGCAGGTGTCCTGATGCTTTAGGAACGTATGCTGTCTTAATGTCTCTCCCTCCCTCTGCCCTCCCTCTCCCTCTTTCTTCGCCCTCCCCCACCACCAAAGGCATGATCGTTGAGTAAATGGAAAAAAACATTTTACAACATTAAAGGAAGACTGTTTAGAAAAGGAAGGCCCTGCTGAGGTGTAGAGGAAGCCTGTTTATTAACACTGGACACCTCTTATCTCAGGCAGCTCCAGATGGATGTCCCTTTGGTAATTCCCACTCTGTGCCAAGTGGGGTTAAGCAGGGTAACCACCTTGACGTGGGCTGGTGATGACCAGGGGATCATCGGCTCCTTCAGAGAGAAATTTTAGCAGAAACTTGGGGTGGGGGAGGGAGAAGCCGTCAGGCTTCAGCACAAAAAGCTTGCACGTGGCCAGATTTACCTTTGTGGCTGTAAATTGCTTGCTGCCTGGGACAGAGCCAGGTTTTGATTGAGAGATAAAGTAGTTCAAACCTGTCAATAATTAACTGTCACTCAATTAAGGCTTTCTTAACAAATTAGCACTTGGTAGCACCTAGGGTGCAGGTTTTTCATGGGAAAAGGCTGATAGAGTGATGTTGGCCATTAAGTTTGCCCACAGAGTATCAGCTAATGTCCTGCTCAGTTTAAACACCACTGTGTAAATCTGGTGAATTGGTTCCCAAACCCTGTTTCTGCCAGATTGCTTTTAAGATTAACTATTTGTGCCTTCCCAAGCTAAACAATGCAGGACAGGGTTTGCTAAATAAGAGAGCTATCCCATTCCTGATTGATTAGGGTTTCCTGGCTGTCAACTTTGAAGGAGCAACGTGATGTAAATGGGGATGTAGCTCTGAATTTACAGAAATCAGGTGGAGCCCCCCTAAAACCCCACAGGTCCATGGGAATGGATGGAGCAGAGTTACATATTCATCTGCCTCCAGAGTAAGATGATGTGATGTGTTTCTGTCTCACACGGGGCCTCGCTCCTCCCCAGCCTGACCCTTCCACTTGGGCTGGTGGGAAGGTTAAAAGGGAAAATATTTCCTCCCTCTTTATCCCACGAGGAAGTTTTCATCCAAACAGCTGCCACCAGGCTGTGACCTCTTGTCACTTCCAACCTTACATGGCTCTGGGTACCTGGCTTCACCAGGGCTCGTCAGGTCAAATGCATTTCCAGAAAGATTGCAAAGCTCCATGTTTATGCCTCTTTCCCAGATTCCTGGAAGAATCCTTCTGTGACGATGGAGGTTGCGTTGGTGTTTCTCTGGTAGCAGCCATTTTGCCATTTCCTTTCCACCCCTCTCTGAACTAGCAACATCACGGGTATGTCATCCCACTCTTCCTCTTAATTCTCCATTCAAAAATTGTAAGTGAATGCCGGATGCCAGCCAGATCCGGCAGAGCCATCCCAGTTTACATCCACTGGTGCTCTGGGCCCGTGTTTGTGCACGCTGCTGAATCAACGCTGCCGGGACAGGAATTCCCTTGGTACATTAATGCACAGCCATCCGCTGACTCTGGAAGCGGCGATCATTTGTCACATCAACCCTGCTGAGGAGGAATCCGTCTCTCGCAAGTCAGAAAACCCTTTGCTCTCCGTTGGCATCAAATTCTCCTGGTGTCACACGCAGTTGCACCTCCAGGAGGTGTAATCACTGAGTCTGGAAGTCAAACGTGAAACTCTGGCAAATGCAGGTTCTGATTCACACTGTATTACAGGAGAGGCTGCAAGGCGGAAGCTGATTTTAGCTTCAACTCTGATCTGTTCCTCTGATACAGGTTTATGCTCAGTATGGGTTTGGTTAAATCAGTCACTGCTTACCTCGCTGAATAGTTTTCCCTCTCTTTTGACTAAAGCATGCCTTACCTGCAGCGTGGGCCAAAGCGATCCTGGAAAAGAGTTTGAAAACAAAATTTGGGAAGCTTTCCAGGTTGTTCTTTTTGAATGAAGACCTTGGGGATGCACACTGTTGTCTTGTACAAAAACTAATCCTGATGTAGCTCTCTCTATTAATCATATCGGAAGAGCTGCCAGAGAGGGACAGCTCTTAGCCAACACCACCCTACCGTGGTTCAAAGATCTGAAGTGTTTCAGCAACCTCCATGTGGAGGGGTTAAAAGCACATTAAAAAATACTTTGTGTTGCCCTGTCCTAGTACTTGCATTAAAAGTTTTAAGAAGTTTAAAATCATAAAGCAGGAGAAAAGGAAGCGTATTTGATAGTTTAAAACTGTACCTTACCTTGTTGAATAATCAAAGCTGGTATTGAACATGAAATGTAGTTTAATTTTATAGACTTACGTTCTTTTGGTTGGTTGGTGTTTTTAAGAAAGAGGAAGGTGTTTCTTTAGAGGGATTATAACCTGGGGAAAACAATTTTGATTGGGGTTTTTTGTGCACTGAATTAACTTATTTTTATATTATATATAAAGAGTTTTAAGAACACATCTTTTCTAATAAAAAGTCATTCCCGTTATGTGAAAAATGCATACAATCTGTCATCTCTAAGGACTCACTCCTGCAAGGCATCGAAGGACGACTTTTTCAGAGGCAGAGAGACATGTAATAGCATTTCAAAACAGTTGCAAGTGCTATGCTATTAATTTTAACAGGACACAGGTGCCTGGATGGATTTTTAAGGTCCCGAATAAGCCAATGGATTTAGGAGTCTAAAGCAGAGCATAGCCTGCCTTTAGGTGTCTGTATACCAAACTGCCATCATGGATCATCCATCTCAGGAGACGCGCTCCAAGGTGCTGTTTCTCCGCTTCCAGAGCCATCCCTTGGGGAGCAGCTGCATACTGGGGTGTCTGGGAACCCCTCAGGGGCCGGCACACAGGCTTTGCCCAACCCTGGGGGCTCTGGCAAAACTGCACCCAGCACTGCTTTCTTTGCAAGATGTCCTCACGGTGGTGTCAGTTCCCGTCTTTCATAGGACAGCCTACAAATTAGGGTGCCTTTCCTAGAGGTGGGAATCTGCGTTTTACACTTTCCTCGTCCCAAAGCCAGGCAAAGTCGTGGCTCTCTTCCCTCTCCGAAGTGCACTGGCCAGCAGGCTGTGGGATGGGGTCATTCTTACCCCTCATTTTATCTTATTTCAGAAAGGAACCATACTATCACAGGGTGGAAAGGGGAAGAAACGAGTGAGCTTGTCTTCATGAAAGGTGCTTAAAACAAGAAACTGGGAGCAGCAGTGCTCTGCTTCCAGGATTGTGTAATTTACTTGTCTATAATGGCTTTGTAATGCAAAATACACACACCCCTGGCCCAGGGAGGAGAGCCAGGGAGCCCCTTAGCCCAGGTGATGGTGCATGCCTCTGGGGCGGACTCAGCAGCTGACCCTCTTTCTGGCCTCGGCAAGCTCTGAGCTTTTCTGCAATGCTGCACGGCTTTGCCAGAGTGGATGGAAGATGTTGCAGCAATTAACGTGAAGGCACTAACATCTCTCATGGATTTTAGCCTTAAGTAGCTGAATCATTAGGTACCTACATAATGTAAAAATTTCATCCCGGGGTACCCTAAGCTCCCACTGAAGTTAC